CGAGGCAGACCCGGCCAAAGAGATGAAATTGCAAGAAAGAAATTTTGAAGAAATGGAAATGGGAAAGTTATCGACTGTAGCTTTTAAGTTTAGTTAACACAACATCTCTATACTATCTAGCTGATATATAGTGAAAACTCCTTTCTTGTTTCCTTGAAATCAAAATCTCATAAAATAGCCATGTATCATTATTAGCATTCTTACATAGTGCAGCCAAAAAAAATTCCATCACTCCCGCTTCTCTTAGTAAAGTGATCTCCTTATTTGTATAGTGCGACTGCACAAAAATAAGTAAAAAGAATTGGGACAAGATTTTAGGGATTTATCGGAATTATCTTCTATCTTTAGCTAAGAGAAAAAAAATGCGTCAAATCAACCGTGTTCAGATCACACAATTTAAGAATTTGTCAATATGGCTAATTTGAGTATTACATTATTCTTCTAAAAAAAGGTAAGACAGCGGATGATTCCAAAGACAATAAAGGTTCAATAAAGCTGAGCAATTACTTTTATTACATATGATACAATATTTCGCGCAAAACACAAAAATCACCGAAATCATTTTGAGAACATGAGTGCGATTATTCAGTATAAATCAATCAACAGTCATCAACAATAGTCGATTAAATGCCAGGCAATCATTCACAACAAGCATTAAAACAGAAAAGAAACACTGGCAAAAAAGAATGATTTATAGGAACTCTCTGGAATAACTTAAAGCTAAATACACGTAATTTTGAATTCTTAAATTTTTGGTTTAGGAAGCATGAGATGATGAGGGTGACGGCCTCTGTGGCATCTCCTCGGTTTGATTGGGTGCTGCTTGAGGTAGCGAAGGTGGAGTTGGAGTTGGACGATGTTGTTCTTCAGAAGCAGTTTGTTGTTGTTGTTGTTGCTGCTGCTGCTGTAGTTGTTGTGACTGCTGTTGTTGTTGCTGCTGCTGTGGCTGGGGCTGCGGAGGAGCGATGACAACTTGAGCTACGGTCTGTGGCGAACTACCTCTTGACCCTGGGCCCAAAGGACGAGTTTGGGATAACAGCTGTCGCTTCACAGTTACACCAGTAGCTGCAAAAATAGAAATGGTAGGCGCAAATGTGCATTTGAATGTTATCTCCAAAACATTGTTTGTACTTCATGCAAGCTCTAGCAAGTATATATATGGTAAACTCCTTAAGAGAAAGCAAAATTCTAAAAAGCTTTGAAAACCTGCATCTAAAGTATGAATAAAAGGCTAAAATAAAAAAAAGTGAAGAGGTTTCATATAAAAATGTGGACTAAGAAATTATTGTACTTAAAAACATACCCTCCGAAAACGGTGATGGATGTCGCGCTGCTGTAGCTCCT